CATTCCAAAAAATCATTAAACACATCAATGAATTAATGAATAAATGAATGAATGAACACTGCCATTCAAAGGTTTGGGGTCAGTATGATTGTTTTAATGTTTTTAAAAAGATGTCTCTTATGCTGCATTTATTTGATCAAAAATTCAATAAAAAACAATAATATTGTGAAATATTATTACAATTTAAAATAACAGATTTCTGTTTTAATATATGTTCAAATGTAATTTAATTCTGAATTTTAAGCAGTCATTACTCCAGTCTTCAGTGTCATGTGATCCTTCAGAAATCATTTTAATATGCTGATTTGCTGCTCAAGGAACACATCGGTGTTAAAAATAGTTGTGCTAATTAACATTTTTGTGGTGACATTTTTTTTCAGGATTATTTAATAAAAAGAGAATAGAATAATAAAATTGAATAAAATTGAGTTTTAAAATTGAACATTAGAATTGCCTTTACTGTCACCTTTGATCAATTTAATGCATCCTTGAAGAAAAGAAAAATACTGACCTTTAATGAAGAATAAATTAACATGAAGAATAGATTCACAATTCTGGCATTTTATTGGGAGAAAAATAATTATTAAAAATATTTGCTGTAAATAATCTCAAATATAGTTTCATGACCCTTAAAATATATGGCTAAATTGTTTTCTCAATTCAATCACCATGGACTGATTTGGCAAAAAGTTAATTTTGGACCCTGTATGTAACTCATCTGAACTTCAACCTCCTGAGGGCTGCCATAAATCAAGGCTGGTAAACCCCAGCTGGAGTTTCACCAATGACCCCACTAGTTTCCACACACCATATCAGTTGCAGCTCATAACGTTCAGTTTCCAGCCCACATAACACGTTTACAGATTCAAATACAAGAGCACAAGAGGCCCGAAATAGCTCTTCTCTGCGTACGCTTACCCTCTATAAACCGCAGTGTACACACCCATTTCACACACAATGTAAAATAAAAGCATGAAAGGCATCTTACCCACACATGCACATAAAAACACAAGGTGACACACTCCCACACAAACATACATCTCCTTGACAGTCCATTCTGAAGATTAAAGACTGAAAGTGGGGCAGATGATGACAAGAAAAAAATGAAAACGACTGCAGTGGTAGAAATGAAAAGAAACTCCCTCCACCCCCCACTCTCATACGCATAAATACACCAACACAGCTCCGCTTCATTATACCGTCCCATTCAAATCCGCATCACCTGGGGGCACGGCCCAGTCAGCCCTGCAGAACCACAGAGAAGCACCGGGATAATTGATCATTAATTGAGAGAAAGATCTGGGGTCTTTTAACTAACTATAAGAGAAACGCTGCACAATTTTAAGTAACGCAGCACTGGTTACCGAAAAGCCCTTAAGAGGAATTCCCAGATTAGACTGCAGTGCTTCATGTCTTTTCAACTGACCCATTTAATGGAAAAACTTCTTATCATCTGACCCCTAGTGATTAGTTAACATGATTAAACTGCTGTGAGAAAACTGAATAAACCAAGCGAGAGTGGAAAGCTGTCATGTCTTGAAACACGGCAATTAGTTAACTCTTTGGTTATACGATACAAATGATATTTTTTTAGTTTGCGTGTGACAAATACAGAACTTATTTTAATTATTGAGTTTTTCAGCTTTTTAACACAATAATATCACAAATTAGAAAATGAAATAAAAATGGCATGTATTATGAATATGAATGATGAAGATGATGATGATGATGTATTTCATCTTTGACACAATCATAACAAAAATATTAAAACAAAACAAAAAAACATGGCTTACTTGTATTAATAATAATAATAATTTACAATATACAACAATAAAAATATATTTTTATTCATATTTATAATTTTAAAACCATTATTTTTATGCAAAGTTGTTTTGCTATCTAAAGCTTTGATATAGGCCTATAATAACAAAATTATTAGAAAATAAAATGTAAAAAACATGACACGTATTATGAATAATAATCATTTCTTTATTATTTATCCCATTAAATTTATGCAAAGTTACTTTACTTCCTAAACTACATCAATCAAAAGATCATTTACATTATCATTATTATTATTAATTTTGTTGCGTATTTTATTATATTTATGCAAAACTGTTTTTCAAAACGTACGTTTAAATTGCTCATCTGAGAATGAATGGTTATGAAAAGTAAACAGGAACAATTATGCAAATATGTTACTTCAAGTATGTTACTTTTTCTTGTTTATAATTTAATGGACAGTGCTGTCATTGTCTTGATGCTATTCTTTAGATATCTATAGATAACAATATAACTACTGTATAACTTTAGGTAGCTATCCTCGATAACCAAATCAATCTCTAATTGCCCAATTCACAGTTTAAAGCGTCTGTGACTTGGCACACGAAATGTGGCTCCTCTAAAAAATAGTAATGCTGAATGATTTTTTTTACCACACCAAACAACAACAAAATCCTCTTTCCAAAAAATGAATACAGAATGCTTACTGAAAAGTCTGAATTATCCTGAGATTTGGGAAATTGGAGTAACCATGGGAAGTTGGTGTAACAATGTGTAATTCCTTTACAATGTATTACAAAATCTGCCCTCAGGCTTAAGAGATTAAACATCAGCACCGACAACAACAAGTCCACCGCTTTCTAAGCTAGAACAGGCAGGACTGAGAAATATTACTATTGATGGAACAATCACGCGGTACTCTTGGCAAACAGACTGTGAGAATTCAATGAAACCTGCTAATATAACAACTTCTGAGCAGATAGAGCGAGGGCTATGGCACATCATCTGCCAAAGTTTTTCACAGAGAAAACTATTTGGAAACAGTTGCATTCCCTTGTCTTTGGACTTGAAAGTTTGAAGGATCTGCGGCGAATGGGAAAGAATGTCTTTGTGCTCAAAGTAGACTATCCTTGAAATTGCGAGTCTACCATATAATGTTTCTCTAAGGGTGGGTTCCTGTCACAGAAGCTTAAAAAGTACTGCCTCCTCTCTGAAGTTGCTCAAAGCCCAAAAAATACAGTGCTATTCTGTGATCCACAGCACACCCCATATTTTACCCCCTGCACTGTCTCTCTGTCAGTGGCTAAGAGGAAATGCCAGAGCTCGGTTTGTGCTTCAACATTGAGGTAACTAGTATGAATAGGTTGCTGAGTGAACAGGCCACATGAATCAAATCATTTCCCAACAGGAAAAAAGAAGCAGCCCTCCCTCAGCCCCTTTCTGGTACATCTTTCCTGATGTACTGCAATCTCCAGAACAACACAAGCACGCTCAGCAAGAGGACCATCCTCGCAGTAATGACCCCGGCCCAGTCAAATCAAGTTCATGGACACTCAAGGTTACAACTCTTCAGCCAGTGTCAACTGGAAATTCTCTGACAGCTGGTTATGCATCAAGTACTGACATTTACTAGAATCACAATCGCATTGAATGTGGGTAGGTGTCAGACTGGCTTGGTGTAGAAACATGCACCGTGACATGCATGGCTGGTGCTACATTCAGTCATACCGGAACATCTTCATGCATTTATGTAGTGTTTCTTCTAAAGGTCGTACTGAAAGCTTGGTACGGCCATGTAAAGTAACATTAGCCTAAGTAGGTGAATCCAGGGTTAGCGTGATTTTGCCAAGTAGGACAAGCTCTTGGATCAACATAATTTCTTAGTCCTGGAATATATAAACATATGCCTCTCTTACCCTAAAACAAACCCTTAACATTATCTACCCCTAAAATCACAGTTCATAAGTCAAGTCAAGTCAAGTCAAGTCTGCTTTATTGTCAATTCTTCCACATGTACAGCACATACACACAGAGAATTGAAATTGCGTTACTCTCAGACCCTTGGTGCATACAGATAACACTAACAGTAGAACATAAATACAGATATACAGATTAAATATAAAATACAACTATACAAATAAGGTAAAATGTAAAGAATAAAAGAAAAAAAAAAAAACAATGTGGTGGAAGACCCAAGCCCACACTAACCATTTAATCTGATTGGTTGGTAGGAACGCTGACCCAGGACCAACAGATCCACGAACATGTCCTACTCGTGAAATTATGGTCACTGTGGATCCAGACCAATCTCATCTTCAAAACACAAATTAATGTGCAGTATTTTTCAATTTCGTCCATCCATTAAAATTTCAAGCAAGCAAAACTTTCAAGAATCAAACGTCAGTACATGCTTGACGCACAAGAACAAACCATATTGGTTCTTGCATGTCAAGGAAGCACAACTGAGCTTCTGTTTACCATATTACATGTGCTCCATGTATGTGCATCAATCAATGTTTATATGTGATCCTGGACCACAAAACCATCATAAGGGTCAATTTTTCGAAATTGAGATTTATACATCACCTGAAAGCTGAATAAATAAACTTTCCATTGATGTATGGTTTGTTAGCATATGACAATATTTGGCCGAGATACAACTATTTGAAAATCTGGAATCTGAGGGTGCAAAAAAATCTAAATATTGAGAAAAACGCCTTTAAAGTTGTCCAAGTGAATTCTTATCAATGCATATTACTAATCAAAAATTAAGTTTTAATATATTTACAGTAGGAAATTTACTAAATATCTTCATGGAACATGATCTTTACTTAATATCCTAATGATTTTTGGCATAAAAGAAAAGTCAATAATTTTGACCCATGCAATGTATTTTTTTGGCTATTGCTACAAATATACCCCAGTGACTTAAGACTGGTTTTGTGCTCCAGGGTCACATATGTGAATAAAAGCTTCAATTAAATTTGTTCATTATATAAAGCAATCACATCTCTTCTGAAAACAGGAAATGTTGCCTTGGGAACTAGCTGAAATAAAAAACGTTTTATTTATATTTCATTTTATTCCAGTTAACGTTTACTTTAAGGAATTAATTTTTTTATGGGTTTAGTTTTAATTGAGTATAATAATCCTGATACTGCTTCCTTGCAGGCTTTCTATACGTATATACTATAGCATAATGAACGTGCCCCACTCACCACTGAAAGAGAGAGATTTATGAAGTCAACTAGGAAATGCTTTCTGTTTGTAGATGGTGTTTTTTCATGAGATGGATATCTGGCTGCATTCAGACTGCTGAAGAAGAGAGTTCCCCCTGTTCCCCTCCCTCGCGCCTGCTCTCCTTCTCATCTCCAACTGTGAAGGGTAAATAAATAGCAATTCCGGACGTGACATGAAATGTTTAACAGAGCCAAGGCTGTAGTATCTATTTTGCATATCCCACCTCCTTCTCTGGAAAACAGCCCTTCAGACACAAACCAAAAGCCCTCAGTACCGATCAATCGTTCTTTTTTTATTGCCGATATGATGCATTTTGTCTCACGTATGGGAAAGTTCTCTTTTCAGTGCCAGCTGTATTTACAATGCTCAATATGGATTTCCATGATGCCCTTAAAACAGAGTGCATCAATGGGACGTGCATCAAAATGCATGCTGGGACAAGCAGACCTCTTTGATTCTGCATTAAGAAACAAGTGTGGATCTGCAGATGTCACAGACAGCTGACATTTCAGGAACAAGACTCATCAGACAGCCGAACATCCTCATGCCGTGTACTACACGACCCCCTTCTCCATATGGTTTCTGAGATGGCGGTTTCAGTTGGGTAACCATTGCGAGAAGAGTAAAGTAAACAAACAGATATTTGGACTTCATGTGCAGTAGCTTATGGTAAATATTCTCAGTCACTGCTGACACCTGGGATACCGTTTTGCATGGTGGTCTTCAGTTAACCTCATTCATCTGTGTCAGGCCTCATCAGTCCACTGCCTGCTGCTCATTCAACCTGCAAACCTCCTCATCCCAAAGCTGCTTCACCACGCTGACAGCTGCTGACTCTGTGCAAGAGATGGCCTATTTAGCAAGACGCTTCAGAATTATCATTGACAGGCTTTTTAGCTAAAATATGAAATGTGAGCTACTGGATTTTTACATTTGACAAAAGTTGCCGCCACAATGCTAAGGTGTAATTCAGATTGCTAGCTGGTTGGTTGCTTACAGTCAAGAAAGAACACCCTCAAGTTACTATGATATTTTTGGTCACTAAGATATGGCTTGTGTTCATCCTTGAAGTGATTATTTTACGCATGTACAACATATACCATATTACAGATTTTTTTATTTATAAATGTATATTGGATATTTATTGCCCATTATTGGATATAAAAAGGTTCATGTTTCTTTCCTCTACTTTAAATGTAACTTTTTTTTAGTCATCTACTTAGTTGATCTTTAAAAAAATACTAATAATTTAAAACTGTTAAATGTTAAAACTTCAGCTTATCTGAATTTCAGCATATGCAACATTTAATATTATACATTAATATTTATATAATTATATACATATTATATATTTAAAATTATATATTAATAAAGCATATATAGAATATTTAGCAAATGCATATCCATTTTAATACTGTACAATATAATGTTGTGATGCCTAAATTTAATTGTGGCATGTAACAATTTATTTTTATTTTCATTTATTTACAAAAAAATATTACAGAATTTGAATATCAGTGCAACCCTAAATTTTTTCACCTGTTTTATCATCTGCTAGGAAAAAAAAGTCAGATCGCTCGGAAAATGAATGAAGTGGTTAAGAATATTCTGCCCAAGCCGTCAAACTGACATCATCAGAGAAGGAATGCCATTCCAGACTGGAAGCAAATTTTCTGACTATGATTAAAAATTAGCAAGACAAACAATTGTTTTCAGTGGATTAACTTGCAGGGATTAAATGTTCACTTCAAAACTAACATTGTGCACTAACAAAGTCAATAGTGTAATTAGTGATTTCATGCAGACTTTAAGCATGGGCACTAGTAAGAGCACCTAATAATAAACAGCACCACTAATCAAAACATTAGCCAATGAAAAACAGACAGATTATACTTTTATAATACAACTAACAGCTATTAAATAAGACTCATGAGATCTATGATCTTCTCCAAATGATTTGAGTGCTGTATGATGCTAATGAACACACTCAATTGTTCTCAATGTGCCCACGTTGAGAATTTATGTTTTAAGTGCCTCTGGCTGACTCAGACACACATTGTTGGAAGGACTGATCGAAAATGAAGAAAATAAATGGAGCGGTAGATATGTGAGAGGGAGGAATGCCTGTCTGGCTACCTTCTCTGAGAGTCTCTCTGGAAAGATTTTACGGGATAACTCCACGAGAGGAGGGGAGCACCTCTACCTCCAAACACTGGCACGTCTCCACCGCTCCAATGACATCACTTAAGAGGGGAAATGGGATGGAACTGGGACGGCCGTTTGCTTGTTTTATCTCAGCACGCAGTATTTTGCGTTGCATCCGCCTTTGCGTCCGTTTCTCTGGTGCGTCTCCCCTTTGTCAAAACCACACTTTGTCTATTCAAGGCCAGCGTTAACTTCAGGAAATTCCATCAACGTACTGTAAATGCACTAAGTACAGCTTGTAGTAAAGTCCCTAAACCCTGTCCAAAACCTCTGCGTTCTTCCCACGAAATTTACCAAGGTGAGAAGTTACTAGGGACTTCACGTCACCTGAATAATACAGCGTGCATAATAAGGAAAGACTATATCATGCCAAACAAAACAGTGGCAAGGGTGGATTTCGGTATTCCACAGATTGTTTGTATCCATGCAGTTTTCCTGTTATTGAATTCCTCTCTCGGTGCATATCCTCCTTTGTGCTGGAAGTATTCAATCCTGATACCCGCTGTGAGACCCATGATGCTTGGCAGGTCCCACTGCATCCCTCTCACCTGGCTAGGTGGAGACATCTTCCGGTATTCCTAGCTCAGGGGGTCGGATTCACGCAATAGTCATAAGAATGCAATTCTTCTTAATTTCTGTTATTACAACTTGTCATAAATCCCTAAGAGGTAAGATGTTTAATAAATGTTTTACATTGTTTCAGCATGCACACATACTGTAGATACAGGATGCATTCGCTTTAGTGAGAGTGCAAGAAAGACGGAGGACAAATGAATACAACAGATCGCTCCATCTTGAGACTCTTTAAAAATAAAATAACTATTTAAAATACACAGCACATTAAAAAAATTAACTTCAAGAAAATATTAGCACCTTAGATGCATTTTAGCTCCTAGAATTGCACCTAAGAACATTAGTGAAACATTGGGAAAAAAGGTCCATTCACATTGTCAATAGTGTGGTAATGCAAGAACGCTTACTTAGAAGTCACTTCCAAACCAAGTAGTTTTATATTGGTAAACACTCCAACTCAAGCTGAATTTTGCCTGTGGAATTTCGCATACAGGTAAATATGAACCGCACCTTTATATTTTATATTTCTAAAAAAAAAACTCTAGAAATTTCGTAACTTCTTTATTAAGAAGAATCCGGCCCTGGAATACATTCCCCATGGAATCTCTACCTTAGTTCCTTCTCTTTCCCTTCTGACTATCAAGCTGGTCACGCCAAGGAACTTTAAAGGGATCATATGATGTTGCTAAAAAGAACATTATTTTGTGTATTTGGTGTAATGAAATGTGTTTATGCGGTTTAAGGTTCAAAAAACACATTATTTTCCACATACTGTACATTATTGTTTCTCCTTTGCAACTTAAGGGATCTTATCTATTCACGAACAGCTTTTAACACTCCAAAGAGAAAGGAAAACTTGAAACCGTATCATATGACCCCTTTAATCTGCAATCCCGTCCTGTACTGCATGAAATGTGAGGGCAGACAGAAGTATGTGCTGCGGTTAAAGAACACTTGGTGGTCCTATTTATCTGACTAGTTGCATCAGAAAGGATGGCATCTTTGCTCCACGAGCATTGTCTTCATTTGTGTGTTCTGTGCCTCAGGACTTATAACATGCTGGTCAAATTATTCCAGCTGCCCTTTGTTTATGAACTATATGCAAAACAGTTCAAAACAAGCTAAATTTATTGCAGTTTCAAAATGTAATACAAATCAGATGGAAAGGAAGAAACAGAGATGAGATATTCAGCCACATAATGCTATATTATTTTGTCATTTTCATACCAAAAGAATTACTAGTGACAAGAAACATGACTCACACTAAAGAGTGTAAAAATAGGTGGGCAATTTTTCCCTACCAAGTTCCTCATTACAAATAAAGCAATTCTAGTGCCAAACTATAGCGAATGCCATTAAATATGAATATGGCCAACTGTGGGGATAAAAAGGTTGAGACACATGAATAAACATTAACATTGCACAGATGTCTAGCTTTGTGCAGTACCTCAATAACTGACTGATGCATATGTTGAGAATGAGGCTTTTTAGTCTGTCGATTTCCTGAGGGCTGATATATTAAGAACCATCAACCTTCTGCACATTCACGAACTGCAAAACTGCAAAAGCAGAACGCCGAAGCTGCTTTTTTCCATTCAATGAAAGAGAATGGTGACAGTGGAGGTCAAGAAAGACTTTTGGTCAGTAAGGACATCAATTTCAATTTATTCACCACAGTAAGCTTCAGAAGAATTGCAAAATACTGGTCGATGGTATATGAGTCTTTAATATGGCTTTTATGGTGCCTTTTTCGTATCTTGGTCTCCATTCACTTTCACTGTATGGAAAAGTGCAGCATGAATATTCTCCTAAATGTCTACTTTTCTGCTCCACTAAAGAAAAAATTCATACAAGTCTGGATTTACATAAAGATGAATAAATGATAACCAAATGTTCATTTCTGGTGGACTATCACTTTAAGGAGGCTCCAAAAACAGATGCTAGCTTTAAAAGGGTTTTCATCGTGTTCTAAACCAGCTGCACATGAGCGTGAAGCTTTGCTGTTCTTTGTTGCTTTCATGGTGAAAGAGTGGCATCAATAGTGGCTCTACTATCTGGATATGCCCAAAGGGAGCAGCAAGCGTACAGATCCCCATGCCAAAGGAGGACAGCAGCCCATAGAGGGGTCAAACGAGGCATTTTAGGAGGGCGTGGACCAGTCTTAACTTCTATAAAGAATATCTCTTTGGGTTTGAGACTTTAGTCTTTGCAACTTAAGGGATCTTATCTATTCACGAACAGCTTTTAACACTCCAAAGAGAAAGGAAAACTTGAAATCGTATCATATGACCCCTTTAATCTGCAATCCCGTCCTGTACTGCATGAAATGTGAGGGCAGACAGAAGTATGTGCTGCGG